ACCCTGCTCCACCTGCTATGGTACTTTTTCGTTCTCTACACTTTACTAGGTCCCCCACTGCAAAGGGTTTCCACGTTCTCCTCTGTTGTTCTGCCTTCTTTGTGTCTGATATTTGTTTCTTTTCCACGTTCCTTATTGCCTCTCTCCTCTCTTTTCTTAACCTTGTTGTCGTCCACCTCTGTTGTTGTGGCCAGGTTTTATTATGCATTGGAAGTCGTGGTTGTCTGCCATACATGAGCAAGAAAGGTGACTTCTTGGTTGTTCCTTGTGTTGAGGAACGATGTGCCAGCAAAATCAATGGTAACTCTTTCTCCCAATTTCCTCCTTTTGATGCTAACCATTCCTTTAACGTCCGATTGTTTCTCTCTGTAAGCCCGTTTGTCTGAGGATGATATGGTGTAGTTCGTATTCTCTTGATGCCAAACTGCTTTAAACGGGCTTTAAACTCGTCACTTTCAAAACAGGGACCCTGGTCAGTTAATATCATCTTCGGTATTCCGTGACACGCTACAATATGCCGGATTACCACCTCGGTCACTGTCCTTGCCCGCTGGTCTGCAATGGGTACGGCATCTACCCAACGTGTGGCATGTTCCGTCATCACTAACAGATACTGGTTACCGCTCGCCGTCTGTGGAAACGGTCCCATCACATCAACCGACCATAGATCACCGACTGCGGTTACTGGGATTGACTGTAATGGCGGTTGTGTGTATCGATCGCTTTTCATTAGCTGACACTGCTGGCAGGTTAACACGTATTCAGCCACATCGTCTCTCATGCTCGGCCAGTATGCACTTTGTCGTAGTAAGTCCGTCGTTCTTGAGATGCCTGTATGTGCTACCTGGTGACACTCGTGTATCACTTTACGCCGCCAGTCTTTCGGGATCACCGCCACCCAATTTTCATCATCGTCCTGCCAGGTCAGCACTCCATATGAGTTCACTCTCAGTCGGTCCTTTTGCCGAAGCAGCGTTATTACCTCCTTGTCCATTGTTCGTTTATCTACGTCTGCTCCCTCTTTTATCACTCTGATTACCTCTCGAAGGTTAGGGTCAGCTTTCTGCTGCCGGACGAGTTCTAATGGGTCTCCCTCTAAACTATTCACCGCGTATGCTGTTAATGGCAGGTCGGCTTCCATATCTGGTCTTGACAAGTAATCTGCCATTACGTTTTCTTTTCCTGGAACATGGCCGATACTGAAATCGTATTCTTGCAGGCGTATCATCCATCGCGCCAACTTCCCTCGGGGGTCTCTTGCTGTTTTCAACCACTGCAGGGGTTTATGGTCCGTCTCAATGTGAAATCGTCTACCTAAAAGGTATGGTCTCCATTTTTCCACTGCCCACACGATCGCTAAACACTCCTTTTCGATGGTTGAATACTTCTGTTCAGCAGGTGTGAGGACGCGACTCGCGTATTCCACCACTCTATCAGCCTGACTCAACACAGCACCTATACCATGATCACTCGCGTCTGTGGCCACTGTAAACAGTCTTCCCGGTTCAGGCAGTCTAAGCGTCATCTGGCGATCGTCTAGCATGTTTTTGATTCGGTTGAACGTTTGTTCGGCAGTCTCAGTCCACGTAAACTTGGTGCTGCTCAATAACTTATATAAGGGTGCTGCTATTTCGTTGAAATTTTTGACAAACCGACTGTAGAACGCCGCTCTTCCCAGGAACTGTCTCAACTTCCTTTTCGAATTAGGTACTGCAATATTTTTTATGGTAAGAATTTTCTCCGGCAATGGTTTTATTTCTCCATTTCCCACTTTATGTCCCAACAATGTGACGCTACTTTTCGCTATCTGCGACTTGTCCTTATTAATCCGAAGTCCAAATTCGTCAATTCGCTTTAAGACTGCTTCCACATGTTTGATGTGATCTGTTTCTGTTTGACTGTACACAACTACGTCGTCGCCATATACCTCGACATTATCTAGATTCTTGAGCAGTAGTGTCATTAATCTTCTGAACGTGAACGGTGCACCCGCCAACCCGAACGGCATTCGTTTAAATTGATACTGTTTATCCCGTACAGTAAACGCTGTCTTGCTCCGATCAATCTCTTTTATAGGCAGTTGCCAATAACCTGACCGTAAATCCAGCACTGTAAACACCGTGGCATTCTGTAACCGATCTAATGTTTCCACCACTGTTGGCATTGCACAAGGCTTCAGGTCTGTTATATTATTCAATTCTCTGAAGTCGACACAAAATCTATACTTTCCATTTGGTTTCTTTACCAAGAGTACCGGCGAGCTATATGGGCTGTCCGCTTCCTCAATTATACCTTCTTTTAACATTTCCTGGACCTGACGATTTACCTCGGCCTCTAAATGCACCGGGACACGACGTGTTGCAAATATATTTACTCGACTGTTCTTTATCGGTATTTCGTGCTTTACTCTGTCACAAAATCCATACGGCTCCCCATCTCCAGTGAATAGTTTCGCATACTTTTTGCATAACTCGTGAATGTTTGGTTTCTTTGACGAGACATCCGCTGCAACTCTTATTTCAGCCACTTCGCTACTTTCGTGTATTGTCAATGAACCATATTTCGTGACCACCTTACCGCTTTTTAAGTCAACTATCGCTTTTACTTCTCTTAGGAAATCTGCTCCTAATATCGGTCTCGATAAGCTTGTGGTTACGACGAACGGAAAATTTATCTCCGCATCCCCCACTTTTACGATACTGTTAGATACACCAAACACCTCTAACATATGGCCCCCTATCGTATGGACAGCTAATGTACACGGCTTGATTCTCTTACATTGCTCTTTGCCTATTAACGATACTGCTGCACCTGTATCGATCAGACAAACTAAATCTCGCTCATTTATGTTCACTCTCGTATATACTGCCCCTCTGTCTACTAACGCAACAATCCCCAGATTCCTAGGATAGAAAGAACACTCGTTGTAACGTCTAACATATCTGCGTCTTCGTCTTGTTGGACAGTTTATCTTCCAATGTCCTGTCCCTCCACAAGCGTAACATTTATCGTTCCTTTTATTGTTCACTCGTATTGCTGCAATCTCGCGCTCCAGCTCTTCAATCTTCTTCTCGACATTACTCATCTCCTGCTTTCCGCACCCGACCGGAGCTACTGTTCGCGTCATCAGCTGACGAGTCACCTTCGCCAGTTCACTGATATCCATCGGTTGCGCTGCGTTCACCAGTTTCAGCTGTTGGGAGACGGTGGCAGGCACACTCTCGATAAACTGTGACGCCAACAACTGTGCCTCCGACTCCTCATCCAGACTCGGCAGCGCACGGCGTAACAATCTGGTAAGCTCCACAGCCAGCACCAGTGGGTCCCCATCGACCGGCAACCTCGCCAACCGGAACTTCTGCAGCGCGTCCTCCCTGTCCACTGGGCTGTCAAACTCCGCCGCCAACCGCTCCGTGACTGCCTCCCATGTGGTCTTCCCGCCAGCACCGTCCAGGCTGTCAAACACCGCCTTCGCCCTGCCTCTCAGCAGCGTCCCCAGGACCACCAACTTCGCCTTCGGCTCCTTCACTCCCACCAGCTCCGCCACGGCCTCAAACTCCTTCAGGAAGCTCAGCACATCTCCGTCCTCAAACTCCTTCGGCCATGGGATCTTCATCCTCAGTGGAGGCAGCGACACCAAATGTAGTGAAGAAGAACACGGGTGAGGACAGCCAAATTGTATTTAGGACAAATTACAGAATTACTTGGTAAAATAGAAAAACCATATAGTAAATCGTTAATTTGCAAAATATCATTCTATCATATCAAACCGGGCTGTTGCTGTTGCAAACATCAATCCATTGTCTCGCATTTCATTGCTCATGCGATTTCTTACAAATTCCATTGTTTTCTCGCTCTTCTTTTCTTGATCTTCTCCATCTTCTGCTCCCAGCCATTACGTTCTTTTGACTCACGTTATATACTACTTATATCAATATAAGTAGCACGCACCACAGGATAAGTAACTTTCTCCATGACAGGAGACAAAGGGTAAGGGTTAATGTGGCTCTCTCCTCGTGGGTACCTGTAAAAAGTGGGGTTCCCCAAGGTACAATCCTAGGCCCTCTTCTCCTTTTACTTTATGTAAATGAATTGCCAACTGTAGCAAAATCATCCGTTCTACTCTTCGCTGATGACATAAAGATTTGGAGACCCATACAAAGCATGTCGGATAGGATAGTATTACAGGACGATCTTAGCTCATTGGTGGCATGGTTAGATAGGTGGTCACTAGAAGTAAATCCAAATAAGAGTGTAGTGATGCAGTTAAATAACTCTGATGAATCGTATGACTATACACTACGTGGATTCGTGCTACCCAAAGCAAGAAACTATAAAGATTTAGGAGTCATATTAAGCAATGATCTCAAAACGACTAGTCACTGTAAGGCTGCTGCTGCGAAAGGCTATAGGGTATTATGGTCAATTCGTAGGTTTTTCCAGTATTTAGATGATGAAATGTTTAGATTACTATACCCGATTTATGTGCGACTACATTTAGAATACGGGATTCAAGCAGCGTGTCCTTGTTTCAAATATGAAGCAGATATGCTAGGAAGAGTCCAACGACGAGCTACTAAGATGGTGCAAGGTCTATCTGGCCTATCTTATGAAGACAGACTGAGACACCTTAACTTATTTCCGTTATCTTACCGTAGAATAAGAGGTGATCTAATATTGGCCTATCGTAAACTGAACGATGACCTTGGTATTAACATGTCTTATCTTTTGCTTCCGTCTAGAACCGATCATTTGAGAGGACATTCGAAGAAAGTTCAAAAACCGAGATCAAACCGTTTACGTTTGGAGTTCCGTTTCTCGCACCGAGTAGTGAATTACTGGAATTCTCTACCGGAACACGTAATATCAGCACTATCTGTTAATATATTCAAAACGAGATTGTACCTCCACAGTATTACAAACTGCAAGGATTAATATAGGTCGACAGACCTCTTATCCTTGTTACTGAAGACTGAAGACTGAAAGCGTCGTTGATTTTCGCGAAACATATTGTTTACAGAACCTACGAACAAACGCGGGTTGTTGCATGGGAACGTTACTCCCCGTTCCAGGTGAGCTGTTGTGTTGTGTTTAGAACCTTCTGAGAATACCCATCAAAGTGAAATATATTGTCTTTGACGGTGAAAAAGATGAAACTTTTGTGTTTTATACTTGCAATTTGGCTAAGTATGCCGCTAGTTTAGTGTTAGTAACTTTCTTTCACTGTGAATTAATTGCACGACCAAGCCAATTTTCCCACATCACTATGACTAGTAATCTTCCATTATGTGCATAAGCAATCGCTTGTCATCCATCAGTAGCCGTGACAATCAACAGACACTTCACAGTCATAACTGTGTATCTAGAAATTCCTAGATGTTTCTGGCACAACTTCTAGTGGGCCCTGATTGGATAAGATGCTTCTCAGTGTTTTCAGAGCCTTTCTTGTCTTTCTGTCGAGGAGTTTTCTGGATCTTCTCAGCAGTCATGTGAGTGTATTTTGAGTGGGAGTGCGGACCTTCCCCACATTCACACTCCCCCAAAAGCCCTGGTACGGCCGAGAGTGGGTAGAGTCCGCTCACTCTCTCGAAATGCTCTCACATGGCTACGCGTATATAGCCTCTGCCAGGGAAGTCCTTCTCACTGCCTTCTCGTGGCGGGGGTGTTGTTCACGAAATTGAGAGGATGAAAAGCGAATGTCTGGCGCTTTTACCGGGTTGGTGGACATGGAGAGTCCACCTAGGGGAGTTGGAAAGCCCTGATTCGAAACCAATGGTGCACATGGGCTCGAGTATTTTGAGGGAACAAATAGCGTGTAAACCAATCGTTGGTCACCGGCTACCATGGGACTGCATCTCCTGACGTTGCCCCACCGCCGTGTGGATCAGACCTTCAGGTCGAAGGCTCGGGGAGTGGCCCCCTAAGGAAACCACCTGCTTCGGTTTAAGCGCCCGGGCAGTATCACAGCCCTCACACAAACCAAGTGAGATTTGTGTGGCGCACATGTATTTGGTGGCTCCTTTCACCAATATCTATGTTCAAATAATAATAATTCAACCGTACCAGAGCATTTGGAAGCAGCGTAACTAGCCGTTGTGGTTCAGAGCAGTGTACATAAACCTGTACTCGTTAAGTGGTTTGAATCTATATTAATTTTCTGCACAAGTACGTTACAGTTCGATAATAAAAGGAATATATTATGCTTACGTATTAGTCTATATTTTTTATGTACAGTAAAATGAGTCAATCGAAGTTGTTTTTCATGTGACATTTATATTATCGCTACTCACTTCAGAAGTTATGATATCATTGAGGAGAACGTTAACACAACACTCAAGACCACTGAAATGGAATGTATCCACCTAGTCTCAGTGTTGGTTTAAGTGGCTAGGGCAGTATTCGCTTCCAATATTTCTGTTAGTGACGTAACTACTACCAAACTATTTCATACGGAAATTCACAAAATTACCATGACTAAGAAAATTCATGTATTCATCTAATTTTGTGCTTATGTATACTACTGAACTATATTTTTAGTGTGAACAACCTGTAGATCTTATTGTTTTAAGAATAAAGAGCTATATTGAGTGTTGAAACGTATTTTGTTATTTTTAAAAAATAGGTATGCCATTTTATTTGACAGATTTCGAACCTTCTACGAAGTTTTTAATCATCCTTATCCTATCACTTACACCTCAGTCAGCTTATGCTCAAATTGATGGAATCTACTGTGGTGAAGAAACCTGTTATGATGGTAAGTTTCGAAACCAGTATACTTTTATATAATGTGTTAAAGGGTCTTGAAAATTAAGTGATAGGAGTGGGGATATTCTGCCTAATAAATGTTTGTTGATAAGCTCAGGTGTTACTAGTATACCATACTGATGTACCAGTAAGATTTAAGATAGCGCCTATTGGATTCTTGTAAAAAAATTTAACGGAATTACGAGTAGCTTATTTCTTGTTAAACGCTTAGTAAGTACTACCAATATTTTCTTCCACGGTGTGGGCAACCGGGAAGTGATAACCGCCCTCATACCTCTAACAGCACCCAAGACCACTGTATTCATAATCAACCTTCCTCTTCAATTCCTATTATTCCTCCTACATCGACTTTCAACCCTAAACTTACTCCTTCGGCTTCCTCCTCAAGTGTCACCATAGCCAACGATTCTAGTGCTCAAAACTCTGTCCCAGGTCTACTGAAACCTCGCTCCAAACTACACATTGGAGCTTTCAACGTACGCACTCTATGTCAAATCGGTCAGCGTGCTTCCTTGGCTAAAACCCTAGAGTCTCTTTCCATTGATGTATGCTGTGTCTCCGAAACACGCATACAGGATTCCAGTGTGGTCATTCACTTGACCTCACCTCGGCAAAACGGAGAGCCAACGAGATACACCCTTCGTGTATCTGGTGACCCGATGGCCAGTTCTCGTGGACTGGCAGGTGTAGGCATAGTACTAAGCATGAGGGTGGAACAAGCACTGCTAGAGTGGATCCCCGTCAACAGTTGTCTATGTGCTGTTCGGCTAAACTGCTCCGTAAGAACTCGGAAGGATAGGGACACACGTCGTTGCCTTTTTGTCGTTTCTGCCTACGCTCCCACTGACTGCAGCTCAGATGAAGTGAAAGATGAATTTTACAGAAGGCTTTCTGAACTTCTTCAGAAAGCTAAACGCTCAGACATAGTACTCGTAGGGGGTGACTTTAATGCTCAGATAGGTAGCTTAAACCAAACAGAAAGGCATTTAGGTGGATATTTTAGCATTCCGGCACAGCGAACAGATAATGGTGATCGTCTGCTGCAGCTATGCTCAGACAATCGTTTATTTTTAGCAAACACAAATTTTAAGCATAAGGAGAGACATCGTCTAACATGGCGACCCCCTACACCAAACCAACGATGGACTCAAATAGACCATATTGCCATCAGTCATCGTTAGAGAGGGTCGGTAGAAGATTGTCGCTCATTCTGGAGTACCTGCTTGGACTCCGACCATGCCCTAATACGGGCACGCATCTGCTTGCGCCTCACTGGACGCAAAAATGCCACATTAAAAAGACCCGTTAGAACTGAGTTGAGTAACGAGAAAACCAAAAGTAGGTTCCAGGAACAACTGAAGTCACGATTAGGTAGTTGTGAAGACGAGGCTGACCCAGATGTTGCTTGGAAGGGCATACAATCAGCTGTGGAAATAGCAGTGACATCTATTAGTGACTTAAACCACAGAGTTGCAAGGAATCAGTGGATTTCTTCAAGGTCTGTCACACTGATGGATTCTCGCAAACTCGTCCCATCAGGTTCCGAACACGACGAAGAGCGACAACAAATCAGATCTAGGTTAAGAAAAAGTCTAAGAAACGACCGTGAGCAGTGGTGGGAAACGAAAGCAAAAGAGATGGAAAAGGCGGCGACTATAGGGAACACAAGACAGCTTTACAGACTAATAAAAGAAACTGGAATTAATAAGTCAAGTGTAAGTGAGATTATATCGGAAAAAGACGATTCACTCATCTGCTCCCAGTCCAGGCGTTTAGAACGATGGGTGGAACATTTCAGAGAACAGTTCAGCTGGCCTTCAGCTACTCTACAACTACCCTCCATTCCCAGACAGTGTGAATGGAACATTGAAGTAGGTCCCCCAACTCTTGCTGAAGTTCAAAAGGCTATAGTTAATCTGAAGCGAGGAAGGGCAGCTGGTCCAGATGGATTGGCTCCAGAGGTCTTTAAGGATGGTGGTCCAATTTTAGCGATTAGGTTGACTAATATTTTAGCTAAAATCTGGGAGTTAGACGTTATTCCATCTAACTGGTCACAATCACTTATCGTCCCAATATACAAGAAAGGGTCAAAATCATCCTGTGACAACCACAGAGGGATTAGTTTAACTAATATAATATCTAAAATACTAGCCTCGATAATTATCAGACGCCTAACTAAGACTCGTGAACTGCAAACACAAGAGAACCAAGCTGGCTTCAGACCTGGTCGTGGCTGCATCGACCACATATTCACCATTCGTCAGATTCTAGAACACAGGCATACTTATCGGCGTCCGACAATGGTGGTCTTTCTCGACTTAAAAGCAGCATTTAACTCGGTAGACCGCGAGATTCTGTGGCAGTGTCTGTCATTGAAAGGCGTACCCCAGAAGTACATAAACCTTGTAAAGGCTCTTTACTCGAACACTACTAGTCGAGTCAGAGCTTATGGCGAACTGTCATCTACTTTTGCAACCTCAAGTGGTGTCCGTCAAGGCTGTCCACTCTCCCCATTTTTGTTTAACTTCATCATAGATCTACTGATGGAAATAACACTGTCGTCGACTGAGTTCTCGGGTATTGATCTCCTACCAGGAGGTCCACTTATCGACTTAGAATACGCAGATGACAGTCCTGTTTGGTGAAGACGCTGACAAAATGCAGAGTCTTCTGGTAGCACTGAGCAACAATGCCAGGATGTTTGGAATGCGCTTCTCTCCCTCGAAATGCAAGTTGTTGCTTCAGGACTGGTCTGCGTTAACATCTGAACTAAGGATAGGGAGTGAAGTAGTCGAACGCGTTGACAACTTCACTTATCTTGGAAGTCTGATCAGCTCTAATGGGTTGGTATCGGACGAAATCTCAGCACGGATTCGAAAAGCTCGACTGGCTTTTGCCAACTTGCGTCACCTTTGGCGAAGGCGAGATATCCGTCTATCAATAAAAGGACGAGTATACGTTCTGTTTTAATTTACGGCTGCGAAACATGGCCATTAAGAGTAGAAGACACCCGTAAGCTACAAGTATTTGACCACAGATGCCTTAGAAATATTGCTAGCATCTGCTGGGATCACCGGGTAAGTAATAGTGAGGTTAGACGCAGGGTATTAGGGAATGATGGTAAATCAGTTGATGAGGTTATGAATCTTCATCGACTGAGATGGTTGGGCCACGTGTTACGTATGCTTGAACACCGATTACCACGACGTGCAATGCTAACCGGTGTAGGGGATGGTTGGAAGAAAGTTAGGGGCGGCCAAACCAAAACGTGGCATCAGTGCTTGAAGTCACTAACTTCTAGTCTGAGCCATGTTGGTAGATGCAGACTACTTGGTTGGGGTCCGCGTGACTATCGTAACGAATGGTTGGAGACTCTTGGTGACATGGCTCAGAATCGATCACAATGGCGTCGGTGTATACACTCCCTGTCTTCCCTTAAACTAAGAGATTAAAATCACTTCATATCTTTCTTTCTACGAACCAATTCTTTCTTCTTGTACTATATCTCTATATGCAATCTTTGTCTTATATATTACCACCTTTGACCTAACCACTGCTATGAATCCGGTGTTCATCTTGTTGTGCTGATGCGGTATGGCAACCTGGACCGATGCACATATGTGCCTAGTCTTACGTTGTAGCTGACTGACTGACTGACCAATATTTTACTACTAAAACGCTTTAAATTGGTAAATATGTGAAGACTAAAGAACAGAGACCAGGATTCAGAAATTGTAATGGATAGTTTAAAGGTGTTCAAAATTAACTGCATAATTGTTCCTCTATACGGAATTACAATGCATTCATCTACTCGGCTTTTTGTCTCTATTCCTAGCTGCTAACTATATTCTAACCGTAATTCCAGTTTCTAATCCTAAATAAAATTCCTATGTCGTGAATTATTCATCTCGACCGCATTTTTATTAGGTGGAAGTAGACATAACTTTCTCACAGTTATTTTATTCAAAACTCAGAACCCATCCCATCCGGTGCATCAGTCCAAGCTACTATACCCTATCGGGACGGCGAAAAGGATCAATGAATTTGTGAAGTAAAAAGTGTCAGATAATTTTAAAATTTAAGATTTCATGCAAACTGAAGAGCTAATGCATCTGTACTATTGTGACTGATTCTGACCTATACCACCTAGCATTTTAGACTACTGAGCGCAATTATCGCACGCACCTCAACCGTGTAGTGAATATCTATCAATGTGGCTCAAATTAACAGTTAATGACTACACGGATTAATATCACGTCTTGGTTTTGACCATCTCTATTTTTCTTCCAACCTGTTCCTACACTAGCAAACACCGTGGCTGCTACCTTGACACAATGGTCGGGCTTGCTTGTCGTGATGACCCAACCGAGCTATATTGGCTGGAACATATGTTCCTGTAGGTCCTACCATGCCAGACAGGTCGATTGGAGAACGGTAAGACTAAAAGCAGCAACTCAAGGTCTGAGGGCGAAGTCGTACTGCTGACTAGAGAGAGGTGTGACAGCAGTAAGGTGTTTCCTTCGGACAACCAGCATCTGCAGCGATGCTGCCTTCTCACAAGGAAGGAAGGGGTTAGAAAAGGTTGACCCTAAAAGTGTCACACCTCACCCTACCCCACGGATTTGCGTCTCCGGCGGTAAGGCCCTTTGAAGAACGGAGCTAACACATTAAAAACCTTCCACGAAAAGGCCGTGCGCGACCGGCCTCAAGCAGTTGTCCCTTGGGCTCTGCAGTCACGCTCCCAGGTCGTTAAGACCAACACTAATCCGATTTTCCTTTCAGGTTCCTCAAGCAATACCCTTCCACGGTGTGGGCAGCCGGAAAGTGACATCAGCCCTCATACCCTTAACAGCACACGAAACCGGGTTGGTCACATTCAAATCCTTCCTACACCTTCTAATACCGCTCTTATCTCTACGACTAATCCTTCCCACGTCCCTTTGTGACCTCCACTGCTAGGGCAAACGATTTGGGTACGCGTAACGTTAT